AGGGCTTCAGCCCTTGGCATATTTAGTGTCCGCATCACACTAGAAAATCAAATATTTCAGTTGGATTAAAAACAATTCAGTAGGCCACAGAAGTGCAAAGTTTGATATGTTTTATTTTGTCAAACTTGCAATAATGGTCAAAAATGAATTTATATAGATTGACTGACAGAGGGAGCTGACAGTGTGTTGAAGAATTATGGACAGGGCGCTTTGAAGCATTTGGTTCAAAAACGCATTCTAAACCTTTGGTAGAAATCCATCTATCCTTCCATTTTCTGTACACCCTGTCCCTTAGTGGGGTCGGGAGGTGCTTGTGCGGTGTAAACCCAGTGGTGTAGTCTCCATTATTGTAGTGGGTATACTGTGCTTAGAAATAAGCACGCCAGTAAGTGCAATTTAATTGACCTTTTTTTTTTTTTTTTTAAGCATATTTAACATTGCTTTCTCTGTTGCGTACATTTGAATCAATAAACAACAAACTGTACTACAGTCGGCTTTGTATTGAAAAGACGTAGAATCTATAAGTACAACAAAACATGCTTAAGTATCAAGTACTATATGTAAGTACAGAAGTAGCCTACTATGCAGGTTAAAACTGTGTCTATAAAATGTTCCAGACATGTTTGTTTTGAGGCTCCTTATGTTTCGATTGCATGAGCGTAGTTTTGCATAGGGACCATAGGGACATGTCCCTACCAAAATTTTGAACCGACCTAATTGTCCCGACCAATAATTGGATGTGAGCAACATGTTTATAATTTCCAGCAGTAGTTGTTGCAGCAGTGGCTTCTTTTCCTCTCGCAGCTCCTCTGCCTGGTCTCTCCTGTCCCTTTCACGTAGCAGCGCAGGGAACTGTGCTGCGCTGTTTAACTCAACTCTCATTGGTTGTTTAAGTTCCGCCTTCTCTCTCTCTGATTGGCTGTTTTCTAGTCCGCGTGTAAAATAATTCTGATTCTAATTGGGTCATTGATCCGTTTGAGCGAAGGCGCAGCAGAACCAGACCCAGGAGGCTCGGCAGGACCAGCAGCAGGAACAGGAGGCGCATCAGAACCGGGAGGCGCGCAGCAGCCTCCTCTCCTAGAGACAAACTGGTGGCTCTCAGTGGAG